TCTCGCAGGCGACGGGACACCCTGAGACGTCCTCCCTGCCGCGGCGCCCTCCAGCCCGAGGCGTCCTCCCCGCTCGCGGCCTGGGAGCCCGAGCTCCTCCGCGCCTTGTATCCCCTCGCCGCGCGCCGTCGCACCACTCCTGGGCTCGGGACCCCAGCCTCGCCCCCGAAACATGACTCGCGATTTCAAACCTGGAGACCTCATCTTCGCCAAGATGAAAGGTTACCCTCATTGGCCAGCTCGAGTAAGTGATTTGTAGCTTTTGCCCTCGGCGGTGGTGCCTTCATTCTCAGAGGGCCTCCTTCAGACCATTTCTTGTGCTTTTTTTTGGTGGTCTTTCTCTCCCTGGATTACCTTTAGTATAATTTGTAATCTGATTTTTCATTTTAGGTTTTGTCTACTAATCTCCCATGCAGTTGTAAAAATGCAAGTTTTTCTACTATCTTTGAATTTCCTTATGACTTAGTTTTTGACAGTCTGACAGGAGTTCTTCATCGAAAGTACTTAGACGACATGCCAGTTAATATTCCATTGTGAGTGAAATAATCCAGTACAAATTTTATGTTTAAAAATTAGTGAAACATTGACATTTCAGAGAGAAAGTATATGTGATTAAATTGGGTTTATAGGGTTTTAAAAAATACATGTGATGCTCAATTGATGAGACCTAGGTTTGTCTAATAAAAGAGATTTAGGACCGGCTACTCTTCAAAAATATCCAGTAAGAGTAGCAAGAAAGGTCCAGAAAATTTATTGCCACGTTTTTACTCATGACCTTGAAGAAGTTGTTTTACCTTTTTGTTTCCCATAGGCAAAAGGATGAATGGACCAGATCCTGGGTTTCACATCTAGAGATAGCAGAGATCAGTGAGGACCCAGGGTATTTTAAGACATTTAGGAGTTGAGACTGTAAATACCTGAGCTCTGTTTTCAGAGAGGAGGTTTTGTTAGTTTATGGGGGGGACATAGGTTCTAAGACCATGATAGATAGGACCTAAAGAATGTTGAGATCGTTTAGATAAGGTAAGCTCAAGATCCTTGAGTAACTCTGTGATCTAAAGGTGTAATTTCTAAAAGCCTCTTGTTTCTAATTTATTCTCCTTACAAAAGAAACTGCTTAAAAATAAATTCTGTAGTTGTAGTTAATGTCAGCTGGGAAGAAGAATGGCGGAAATATCTATTAGATAACAGAATCACTGGACTGAGGAGCTGAGAGTGCTCGCGAGTATAAAATGATAACTTGACTGAGTTTGATCCCTGGTACCAAAAAAAAAAAAGATTACTTGATATCTTTCTCCCATCCAGTGCTACTCCAGTTTTCATATTTGCTTCCAAAGCTTGCTTTTCCCTAGTTTATCATGCCTACTTTTTCAGGGGAGTCTGTCTTGAACATCCTACTCATAACCCTCATGTCAATATTTGGTATTCTAACCTTTTTTTTTTTAACCTTTTTTTTTTTTTTTTTTAGGAAAATCTTAACTCTTTCTTTGTATATGCTCTGTCTTCCAAATACATTATGAACTTCTTGAAGGCAATGCCCTTAAACTGGATATTTTTTATATCTCTATAGTCCTTGTTATATAATCATGTAGTTATAAAACAGTTTTTCATATTTAAAAAAAAGTGTTAGAGACCTGGGCAGGTTTAAAGTCTAAGAGAATTTTTCTTGAGACTTTCTTATTTTGAGGTGTCATAAAATCTGAGGTTATCTGATAAATCTATATTCAGATTTCCATGCTACAGTGTAATTAGGAGCCAAATGGAAGTGCTTAGAAAATTTTCTACCCCCACACTGTCCTCCCTAATCTTATGTTAGGTGACTAAGAGTGTTATCAAAAGTAAAAATAAAGCAGCCTTAGGAGGCCAGAGTATTTTCTTTAACAATTTCTGCTGTTAACGAGTTCATTTGGATTGGAGTGGGTCCTTTTTATCATTTTCCTTTTCTCTCATTTTTTTCTTAGAAGCAGCTGAATTTGGTTTTAACATCTTGTGTCTAAGAATTACATATTTTTTCCTGACTTCTTTTTGTTTTAAAACTTTGAATCTTTGCCATATAGTGTGCTGAGTGTTTTAAGGTCTCAGCTGCAGAGATGACACCTCTTATTCCAATTTTGGTTTTAACATTTTTTGTCTTCATTTCCCAAAGTTGATTAAATTTTTTTTAATACTATCTTGCTGTGTAGTTTAGGCTGGTCTTGAACTCACCATGTGTCCCAGGCTGGCCATGAACTCATGGTTATCCTCCTGCCTCAGCCTTCTGAGTACAAGCGTGCACCACCACACCGAGTCCCAATTTGATTAATTTTTAAGTCTTTTTTTGTGTGTGTGTGTGTACCGGGGATCAAATTCGGGTCCTTGCACTTGTGCAGCAGGTAGCGAAACCACTGAGCTAAATCCCTGGCCCCTAATTTTTAAGTCTTGTACATTTTTGTGGTCCTTTACTAGTAATAATCTTTTTTTAAAAAATCAACCTTTTAAAATGTTGCCTGTTTATTAAACTTTATAGATGATAAGCATTTGAACAAACTCTAAAAGCTGATTGGTAGCAGAAGTAAACATATGAACCAGGTTGACAGAAAATATCCTTTTTTTTTTTGGTACCAGGGAATGAACTTGGGACCTTGCGCTTGTGAGGCAGGTGGTGGAACCACTGAGCTAAATCCCCGGCACAGTATCCCTTATTTTAAAGACTAAAGAGGCTTTTGCAATTCTTGGGGCCTTCCCACGAAGTTGAAATGAAAAGTATAATTTTCATTATATAGGTGGAGAAATTAAGTTCCCTAGAGCTGTTGGGTGGTGATGCTTTTAGTGAAACCTTCTAAGTGTCCCTACAGATGACCAGTCTTTATAGTCATCCTTACAGTGTTTTTTTTTCTATGCCATAATGCTTATAGGGCATAGTAGATCCTCTGCTGGTCAGCTCCATTAACAAAGTCAACCAATTTTTGAGTTAAAATGGTTTTTGAAATTGTGAAATTAGAGGTAGAAATGATAGGTCTGGCTAGATACTGCTATTGCTTGATAGCTTGAACAAGGGAGATAAGAGAAAGTAACAAATATACTAATAAAAGTATTAGATGTAATACACCTATAATCGGGAGGCTGAGGCAGGAGGCTCCCTGAGAGTTCAAGGCCAGCCTGGGCTATGTAGTAAGTTTAAGGCCATGTGAATGAACTACCTGGCAAGACCCTGTCTTGGTGCCCCCCCCCCCCCCAAGGATTGGAAGAAAATTGTGAAAGAAGTAAGTGACCACATGTGGTTTAACCACATAGGTAAAGGATCTTTTTTTTTCCTCTTCAGTACAGGGAATCGAACTCGGCCTTGTGCTTACCAGTCAGGTGCAGTGCCACTGAGCTAAATCCCCAGCTCAAGAATCTTTTTATAGTATGTGTTTTAAACTCTGGGAAATATGCTTTGAACTTTTAGTAATACCTGCTTTTACATTACTGTATTTAAGTAGCCATCTTGCAGAAATAATCATTTAGGACCATGGAACAGATTCAGACCTGTGTGTAAGGGCAAACATATTTAAGAATTCAGAAATGGGGGATTGTTAGGAAGTTGATTGTGGTACAGATGCTATATATTGTACTGTTGCTAGGATCTGGGATAACAAAATGTAATACAACATTTCCACAGGGAAAGAACAGTAGAAACATTGGATAAAAGAAGAAATGAAATTAGCCTTAGTGATAGTCCAGGTTTTGTCACCAGATGAATTTTGGAAAAAAAATCTTGTTTATGTAGAATTTGGGTTTTAAAATAGAGAATATGGGATTATGGTCCTATAAAATGGGTGTTTTACATGTGATCCCTTTGGATGTCTTGTTCTCAATTTATTCATGTGTGTTGAGGTGTGTATGGTTTAAATTTGTTACTATCTGATCTTTTTTAGGTAGATGAAGTTCCTGATGGGGCTGTAAAGCCGCCCACAAACAAACTGCCCATCTTCTTTTTTGGGACTCATGAGACGTAAGTCCTGTTATTGTAGAGACAAATGAGAGCTTATTTCATCTTTGAACTTTGAAATAGTCTTCGACTTTCTTTTTTTGGCACTTCTGGGGGAGGAGTCTCTTCTTTTTAAGGTGCAGATTAAAGACACTTTAGATTTAATTTTTACCAGAATAAATTGTTTCCTTAATCATAAAAGTAAGTTATCCTCTCGGCAATCACAGAAATGAATGTTAGGTGAAGGGATGAAGGGGAAGTTGTAAGAAGGCGTTCAGTAGTCTCACGTAGTGAAATTACTAGCTTAGTGCTGCCTGGCCCCTGTGTTAGGCTTTTAGGCTTGATGAGGGTAGCCCTGCATACTGGAAGAGGACAGCTGGACAGTTCTCACCGTGCTTCTGCGGTCACCAGAGCCACTATGTTCTTCAGTTCTGCTGCCCCCGGTGGATGTGTGGGCAGAGAACTGATTTGGTGAAGTCAGTACATTTTTCAAAAATTGTAGCTGAAAGTTGAACTGTTAATTCTAGGTACATGGGATTATTCCAGGGGATGTCTCGTTACTTCCCAAAGATTTTTGTTTTTTATATACACATAACTTTAATAGCCTTATAAGTGCTACATAATCTAGGTGATTTGGGATTTACACTAATTTTTTTTTTCAGGTACTGGAGTTTAAACCCAGGGGCTTGCTGCACATGCAAGTCAAGTGCTCTACCATATTCCCTGTAACAAAATATATTTGCAGTGTGTGGTGGCAGGTCTATCAACATGAGTATCACAAAGAGCTTCAGTTAAAAAGGAAATTCTTAGGCCCCTTCAGACCCCATTCTGTGAGATACAGGGCCTATCTGTTCTACCAAGTCTTTTAGATAATTCTGATGTGTGCAAAGGTTAGAAATACTTAGGTTAAAGTGAGCATTCTTTAGAATTTTTCACTTTTATAATTTCAAAATACAATTTCTTTCCCTAAGCTAGCAGTGCTTTATTTATCCTTTCTATGTTACTTGCAATAAATTTTTCCAGCAGTCAAGTTTTAAGTATTAGTTAATTCTTAGGTATACTAACTGTGTTTATGTGCTGGTTCTCTTAAACCTAAGATACTCAAAACTGATGTCTTAGTAAGTTCTGATGTGGACTTAATTTTTTTTTTTTTTTTTTGGTACCAGGGATCAAACTCAGGTCCTTGCGCTTGCATAGCAGGCGGCGAAACCACTGAGCTAAATCCCCAGCCCTGGACTTAATTTTTAATGAAGCCAAAAGTCTTCATATTATCCTTGATTCCATATTACAGTTTTGCCTTTTCCTTCTACATTTAATTAGTCAGCAGGTCTTACTCTTTCTTTACAATGCATTCTGATCTTCCCACTCTTCTCCTGCTCCTCTATTAGAACGCAAGTCCATGCCATAATTACTCCTGTAATTAGTGCCCTTATCCTGTCTTGGTCTCAATTTCCATTGTGTATAATCAAAGTGATTTTTATATCCCAAACAGATTATGTCACTTCCCTGGCTAAAATCCTCAGTGACTTCTGTTGACATGACCAGTGAATAAAAACTATACAAATGGTGTTTATAAGACTGTTTGAACTAGCCTAGCTTACCTATGTTATCACATTTTTTCACTACTTTTTTGTTTTATAAATACACCTGATCTTGCCTCAAGTGCTTCTTGCTCGTTTCTCCTTTTCTGGAATGGTTATGTTGTCAGGTATTTGAAGTCACTTAGATTTTAGATCAACTTTTTTTTCATGTTTATTTTCTCTGTTGCAATGATGACGGGAAAAGTGTTTTTCCACAGTTGAAGAGCTAGGACAACAGAGATTTTGTCTATCCTATCATCACTTAAAGTTTCTGGCACATATCTGTTAAATAAATATTTGATGATTGTAAGCTCTGTATACTACAGTCATTTGTTGGTTATGAATTTGCTGTGTGTTAACTAATACTTATATAATGCTTAATGCAAATAGATCAGAAGTCTAACTGCTTTTTGCCTGTAATATGACCTTGGGCAAGTTACTATAACTTTTCTTCCTAATTGGTAAAATGAGATTAATCTTCAAAATTTTGAGGTGCAAAGAAGATATTACATGAAAAATGTTTAGTGCTTGGCATGTGTTAAACTAAATAAATGTATCAGCAATTAAAAACTACAACTTTGACAAGCTTTTATTTCATTTTAGGACCAATATTTGCAGGTTATAAACTAATGTTAACATTGCATATTTTTCTAAGACTCCTACTTGTCATTAAATTGAAATGCAGATAATTTGAGTTTTGTTAGCTAATTATCTTGGCTAATTGAGGGAATACTCTCACCTAGCTCTGTTTCTCTGAAGTTTGAAAAAATGAAGTAAAATAGTATTTTGTTGCTTTTGTCTCCTTATTACTCTTATTTATCTTAATATAAAGAAGTTGGGTTTTTAGGTTTAAGAACCTTAGAAATTTGTATGATAGCCTGTTACAAACCTGCCTAATGTATTTTTTAAGTGTCAAGGTAAATGGAGAGTTACTGGTGGTGGTGGTGGTAAGAAAGTACTACAGGAAGTCATAGGGTAGGATATTGTCTTCAACACCAGCTCCACTGTACAACTTCCACAGCTGCATGGGCTGGTATTGAGGTTTGCTTTTAGAACGTATAGAATATAGTATTATTTTGTTAGATGTTTCATAGAGTATGTTATAGTGTTTACTGCTTAACAGTAGGTAACTGGACCTGAGTGAGTTAATCGTCTGGGCTTCAGTTTTCTCATCTGTAGAATAAGGGTTTTGGTGATCCCTGTGTTTCCTTTCAGTACTGGAATTTACTGCTTGAATTAATTTTTTTTGACCCAAAGTCTTGCTGTGTAGCCCAGGCTGGCCTTGAACTTGGTGATCCTACTGCCTCAGCCTCTGGAGTGCTGGGATTATATGGCTGTGCCACCATTCCTGGCAATGTATATCTATTCTTTGTTGAAATTTTTAAAAGACAGTATGAGAGAGCTGTACATAACAACAACACGTAATCCC